CCCCATTTATTTATTTATTCATTAATTTATATCAGTAGTTTCTGTGGGTACCTCTGGTTGCTTTTATTGGAGAATATTTCTTCTGCTCTGTTCTGTAATTCCAATTACACATGTTACCTCTTTTGAAATTATCCCACAGTTCTTGATTTTTCCCCCCATTCTTTCTTCGCTTTGCATTCTAGTTTGGGAAGTTTATCTCTCCAAGCTTACTGATTCTTTTCTAAGCTGCGTTGACTAATGAACCCATCAAAGGCATTCTTCATTTCTGCTACGGTGTTTTTGATTTCCAACATTTCCTTTGAGTCTTTCTTAGAGTCTTCCCACCAATCTGCTTCACTACCCATCTGTTCTTGCATGTCATTTACTTTTTCTGTGAGAGCCCTTAACATACTATTCACAACTGTTTAAATTCCCTGTCTGATAATTCCAGTATCAATCTCATATCTGAGTTGGGGTTTACTTTGCTTTGATTGCTTTGTCTCTTCAGACTGTCCTTTTCTTGCCTTTTGGCATGCTATGTAATTTGTTATTGAAAGTCAGATATATTTTATGGAGTAGGAGGAACTGAGGAAGATAGGCCTTTAATGTAAGGATGTATGTTAATCCGGCAAGAATTTGAGCTGTGTTTAATGATTTTTGTAGCTGTAGGTGCTGGAGGCTTCAAATTTCCCTGGGTCTGTCTTAGTCTTCACTCTTGAATTTGGGCTTTCCTGTATACTAGTCCTCTGATACTGTCTGTCTTGTAGGTCTTTCAGTTGCAATCTCTGTCATTATACTGGAGCTCTGTTGATATCAAGGTGGAGTGGGGTGTTGTGTTCTAAAATATTCTGATTAAATGTCAGTCTTTTGCTTGGCTAATGTCTTGGGGCTGTGACTTTTATGACTGTTTCTCCAATGGTATAGCTTTTCTTTTCCTCTCCTTCCTACATTTTTGGTTACAGTATTTCCAATTTATTTCCTTGAAGCCCTGACCAATGTGGCCTATGTTTTATTTCCCCTTAAGTGAGACAGAAAAGCTGGAATCCCCTTCTCCCAGTTGGATAAGGCTCTGGAAAGTTATTTCCTCTGAATGAAAGAGGTTTGTTATAGAGAAGGTTGGGGACTTTCTTCATAATGGTACCTCTCTCCCTCCCTCTGACAGAGCCAAGAGAGGATCTTTCTCCAGTCTTCATCATGAAAACCTGGTAGAGTTCCTGGAGTTAAAATTCCCAAATGCATGGGAGTTTCCCTAACACTGTGGCTCCCAGGGGTTTCTCACTACCACTGTTAGTCCATATTCAATCTCCAACCGTTCATCAAAATGTTCAAGTATCTCTACCCATTTATGGATACAGCTATTTCTGTTCCTGAAGAGCAAGTCTCAGCTGTGTTCCCCTGGATGTACTTATCTCTGCAGTTTGGGAGGGGAGGGTGACTGTTTGTTCTGTGACCTCATGCTCTCATGGTCCAAGAAAAGTTGTTGATTTTCCATTAGTCTAGCCTTTTCTTCCTGTAAGGATGGAGTGTCCAGGGTTCTTACACATAAGACTTGAAACCAGATGTCTTGCAGTACTTTTATATATAAAACACATTCCTTCCTATTTGCATCTGCAATCATCTTTATATTTTCCTAATTCCAGAAAACTGCCTAGATACAGATTATATAAATCTTTTGTAAGAAGATAAGTTCTTGCCAAAATATCAGTGTGATTATCTAAGTTAAGCATCAGTATTCTAATGTGAGTCATTTTAGACATGGTTTGATGAAATTAACTGAAGATGAGAACCACCAATGAAGAATTTAATCAAGATTAATACCTTCATTTTAAAAGGTTGATAAGGTGGGTGAGCACATTAATGGTTTTATCTATTAAATCTTTTGGTGCTAAGAATTGATGTCCTTGTCTTATCTAGGTAAAGAATTTTTGTTTCTTGGCAGAAAAAAAGATTATTTATAAGCAGAACTATAGTAGTAATTTTTCTCAATTGATGGAAGGCACAATTTTTGCCTCAAGCTCTTATCTGGTAGCTCATTTAGAAACAGTGGGCTGTTTCTAAATCAAAGTTTAATAGAGGTGGGGGGGAGACTAATTGTATCAGAGAGCCTCCTTCTCATTTAAAAATACAGATTTGCCAGTTGAAAAGCTGATAAATATTGTTTAAGCATGTTTAAATATTGTTTAAACATTAAATATTGCATATCTATAATACAATTTTAAAACATCTATACTACATTTAAAAACATTATCTATAATACAATTTTTTTTGTTAAAATATATGTAGTATTATTATGCAGATTTTATAAACTAGATATAACAGAAGTATGAAGCGATTATGTGAATTCTTTCTTCTCTCATTTCTGCTCATTTATATTTTCTGAACTGCATATAATGAACAAGTAATGCTTTTATGAAAAGAAAAACCTGCAGAAGTTAAAACAAAAAAACTAATTAATAAAATTTTAGGACTTGAATAGAATGTGGGACTTGTTAGGCCAGTTCCTAATTTCTGTAGTTGAGAAGGCACACACAGAAAAACCAATCTTTTTGAATTTTCTTTCTCATTCCTGCTGGTCAGAATCATAGTCCTTCTTAAAAAGATCCAGCTCAACGGGGTGCCTGGGTGGCTCAGTCAGTTAAGCATTCCAACTCTTGACTTCAGCTCAGGTCATGGATCTGAGGGTTGTGAGATCGAGCCCCGCGTTAGGCTCTACACTGGGCATGGAGTCTGCTTAAGATTCTCTCTCTCCCTCTCCCTCGGCTCCTCACACCCCCATCACTGCTTGCACTCTCCCTCTAAAAAATAAAAAACCTGAATGTTTGCCTAATTTTTTTTTTTTAAGATTTATTTATTTGAGACAGAGAGAATGAGAGAGAGTGGAGGGTCAGAGGGAGAAGCAGACTCCCTGCCGAGCAGGGAGCCCGATGCGGGACTCACTCGATCCAGGGACTCCAGGATCATGCCTGAGCCGAAGGCAGTCGCTTAGCCAACTGAGCCACCCAGGCGCCCCTGAATGTTTGCCTAATTAAAAAAAAAAAAGAACCAGCTCAAATATACATGGCTTTGGCATTTCTGTAACAGTATGTCTCACTTCTCTCGCCAATTTTAACATTCTTCAAGGATAACATTAATAGTGAGGAGGGGGGAGAAGAGGAAGAAGGGGATGTGGATGATGATTGTTTCCACTTATATTTGTCAAGCACTTAAATATACATCTTACTTATATTATACTAATTAATCCAGAAATATTTTTCCCATTTCACAGGTGAAGAAAATGAAAATCAAACAGGTTAAGAAATTTTACAAAGTTCCCTTGTCACAACCCATGGAACTCAGGTTTTTATGCAGGCTCATATTTCTCCAAAATTTGACATATAATAAGTATTCAGTAAACATATTTAATAATTGAGCTATTTAGAGAGCATTTAATATTTATGGACCAGATTTTCAGTGCTTATCAGTGGCCTGCTGATCTCTCAATTAATTCACAATTAAAAGCCAACTTGAACCACAACTAATATTTGGAGTCCAGATTCTCTAAGCAAATAAAATTGTTTTCCATCATGGAAAAAATGATCACCATGCTGCCCTCCAGCATCATTGTTCTCTTCTTTACTGTACTTCAAAATGTTTTTTCAATTTTTATTTGTTTGTTTGTTTGAAGCATTATCATTTTCCTTTTTAGCAACATTGCTGGGACCATGCACTTACCTTTTATCTCCTGGAATAAATTTTATAGCTAAGTACCATAGCTTACTTATTTAGCACTTTCACAAATATTATCACGTAAGATCATCCCTTTGGAAACAGGGCAGATATTATTGCTTTCATTTAAGGATGAGGAGGCTAGATCTTCAAGAATTTCAGTGATTTGCTTATAGAGTCATACAGCTTTTAAAGCACAGAGCTAGGTCTCAAGGGGAGTTCTCTGACCTCAGATCTTATTCTTCCCTCTGTTGCATGGCCTAATAATACAAAGTCATTCTCTTTGTCACATTTTTTAGTGACACACTGTAAATTCTTCTATAGGTTGAGTATTCTTACTCAATCTTTTTGATCCCTTAATTGTTAAGCTTTTGTTCCAGTCAGAATTTTTAATTGTGCAGAACAGAGACTAACTCTGGCCAATTTATAGAAAAAGAATTTACTAACAAGAAATGGATAGTTCAGGAAATCATGGAGAAGCAGGTTCAGAAACAGGTAGGAACAAGGGAGGAAGAGGGTGGCAACCATGAGCTCTGCTAAAACCATGCTCTAGAACACCAGATATTTCCTTGCTGGTTCTTCTGGTCTTGCAATCCCTAAAAATTGGATATTGTTATTGCAACTGTCTTTTCCCATGACCAGAATAGTTTTCAATCATCCTTTCTTCTGTGTGTCACTATCTTCTGTTTCAAAGGCTTCATGGGTGTGTCCGATTGACTGAGTATGGATCATAATGGTCATACTCTAATTTCAGGGGAATTTGGGAAACCAGTCCAAGTACTTTTAGTCTCCATTATGGGAGGTGAGCTCTTTCTCTCTCCAAGTTTGATTAAGCATACTCTTCACTAAATATGGCAAGATGGTTGAAATAATTGAAAGTCCCCCTACCATGACCCCCAAAATGACCAAACTCCAGTACTGATTCCAACCTAGTTTTATGTGTTCTCTCTTTGGGTTAACTTTCTTTGAGATAAGAAACATATTTAATTTACAACTTTGACCCAGTTGTCACTCAACCAATAATTACTCTTGCTTTGCAGCTTTCTGAAAGGTCTAAACTTGTCATGTAAGATTCACTTACTTAAGAAATTCCCCTTCCAAAGTTATCCTCCCATATTTCTTTCAAATGAGTAAGCTTCATCAGGGCCTGACAGTATGAACTAGTGCTTTACAAAATATTTTCAAAGCATGAAAAATATATTTGGCATCTTTCCATATCTTGGGATTTTAAGATATGCCTTGTTATTTTACTTTAAGAATTCTAAATATTTTATAAATAACATGTCTCTGAGTCTGAATAATCCTTTCCTCTACAGTATTTTTGAACAGTGGCTCCGAAGGCACCATCCTCTTCAAGAAGTTTATCCAGAAGCCAATGCACCCATTGGACACAACCGGGAATCCTACATGGTTCCTTTTATACCTCTGTACAGAAATGGTGATTTTTTTATTTCATCCAGAGATCTGGGCTATGACTATAGCAACCTACAAGAATCAGGTAAAGTTTAATTTCTTTCATATGAATTAGTGAATCTAGTGTGACCAACTTCTTTTGAGAGAGTACCTAACCTTATGTATTTATGTTATCCCCAAAGCCTTTAAATTGGGAAAGCACATTACAACTCTTAATTTATCACTAATTTATTATTACATGAACGAAGTTGCAAGGATCTTTAAATTCACATCCATTCTGCATAATATAGGGCATTTCGTATATGGAACCATGGAAAGAACACTAGAATTAAAATCAGAAAGGAAAAAATGAGTTTAAGACATGACTCTATCAGCTGACTGTTAAGTGACTTGGAAATTTTGCTTCAATCCCATGCATCTCAGTTTTTTAACCTGAAGTATTGGGATCAGAATACCACAGAGAGATATTGTGATAATTTTTTTAAAAGACTTTATTTGAGAATGAGAGAGAGTATGAGCTGGGGGAGAGGCAGATGGAGAGGGAGAGGCAGACTCCCCGCTGAGCCAGAAGCCCGATGCGGGCCTCTATTCCAGGACCCTGGGATCATGACCTGAGTGGAAGGCAGACGCTTAACCGACTGCCATCCAGGCTCCCTGAGATATTGTGATAATTAAATGAATATGATGTATTAAAGAGTCCAGTATGGTGTGGTACAAGATAGATATCCAGCAGGTTTAGAGTCATCTTTGGGAACTTTCTCCTAGGGTTACCAAGAAAATGTGGATATTTTTATTTTAAGTCCAATTAATAATAATAATAAACAAGAAGAAGGAGTAGAAGAAAGAATGAACTATTATGATAATTTTTATGACTATGATTAAGGTAATAGTATAAAACTCTAAGATTATAATTCTAACTGGGCTTTAAATAATCTTCCTGAGTAGAAATATGTCAATATCTTCTTAATAAATGAGGAACAGTTTTCCCCCACCCAAGAGCCTGCTACATGCAGATCTCATACATGTGTTATTAATCAATCATATATTAGATAAGTATTATTATCTCCAGAAACAGGTGAGGACACTAATACTATGAGAATTTAAGTGACTTTCCCAATATCAGACACCAATATATGGAGGAACCAAATATCAAAACCACAAGGCCCTCTCTTCAATTCAATACATTATGCTTCTACTCTAACACAAGAGTGTTTTTGGCCAACAACCAAAAACAGTAAAACAGCATATGGCTTGTAGGTAAGAGGTATTTGATAAGCATTGATATTTCATTATATTCATTGATAATTCATAAAAATGATAATTCATAACAACAAGAGAAATAAATTAAACAAATTAATGACATTTACCAACTTCCAACCCTTGTGCTAGATTTTAAGGAAAATGACTGACATAGTTCCAAACCTCAAGGAGCTCCAAGTTCAGTGTGGAAGCCAGACAATTGTGCAAGAAAGTACAAAACATCAGGCTGTGTTAAGTGCAGCAAAAGAGTCATAAACAAAAATCCAACAGGAGCACAGGGGAGAAAGAAATGACTTCTGAATAATTCAGCCTAGAAAGACAAGACAAGACCCTGAAGGATGAGCAGGCAAGTAGCAGATAGAAAAGGGCAGAGAATATTCTTAAACGAAGAGAATAACAGGAAAAATAGAGGTGGAAAGTGTACAGTGTATTTATACAATGTTAATTTCTCCTATTTGAGTAGGAAAAGCAATGGAAAATTTCCCTGTGGAGAGAAATGGAGTCCCTTCATAATAACTAACATATATTGAGTATTTTTTATGTGACAGGAACTCCTCCTCTAGGAGTGTCCTGTGCATTATTTCCTTTAATCTTCGTAACTATTATATGAATGAGGTACTATTATTTCCTTTTTCCTTTTTTAGGTGAGAAAACAGAGGCTTAAAGAATATAAATAAAATGTCCCAGGCCATCTAGCTAGTATGTGGCACAGCAAAACCACAGTTTAGGGCCAACAGGAGAACCTGTATTTTGTCAACTTTTACCTGCCCTTTGGTGGACCATTAGCTGAACAAATATGGGTTTGATTAACCTGTTTTGTTTTATCTGAATCATAGCCAATGGCTATGGCCGGCATTAGAAATCAGTTTCTTTGAAAACATTAAGATCACTGAGAACAGGGGATTTTGCAAAGGGCAGAGGTGTGGTAGGGGAGTCAAAAAAGTGTCAGTCTCAAGTAACATGTCTTCCCTTCTGAAAGGGAGAGAAAGGAGCATATTGGTAATGGCTTTTCAGAGATTCACCACTTAGGATTTTATGATTTCCAAAACATGCCAGACTCTTTCATGGGCCCATGCTTTTAAACATGCTGTTCCCTCTGACTAAATTCTGATCCTGTTTATCCATTTGTCAAACTCTCAGATAGTAAATCATTTTATGCATATATATATAGTCATGTCTAATCACTCCTTATTAGAGTTACATGTTTGAACCTTTCCCCTCTCCACCTTGACTATGAGTCCTACAAGACTAGAAATGACATTTTGCAAACTTCTCTAGTTTAAGTATAAAATGACATCCGGTATCATTGGGGTGAAATCAGTGAATCAATTTGAGTACAAGTGATATTGATCACGAAGTGTGGTATCTCTTAACCAATATAAGTAAAGTTTGTTTTTAAAGTGTCACCCCTTTTAATACCCAGGTCATTTTTAGATATGTATTTTTAAAGTATTTCAAGTCTTCTATTACACTAGGTATTTTCTAGGTGGTTTTATTGATTTATTTATTCTTTCTTTTTTTTTGGATTTTTTTTATAATGTTATGTTAATCACCATGCATTACATCATTAGTTCTTGATGTAGTGTTCATTGTTTGCGTATAATACCCACTGCTCCATTTAGTATGTGCCCTCTTTAATACCCATCACCATGCTAACCCATTCCCCCACCCCCCTACCCTCATAAAATGAGTTTGGAAGTTTTCCTTCCATTTCTATTTTTTGGAACAGTTTCAGAAGAATAGGTATTAATTCTTCTTTAAATGTTTGGTAGAATTTCCCTGGAAAGCCATCTGGCCCTGGGCTTTTGTTTGTTGGGAGATTTTTGATTACTGCTTCAACTTCCTTAGTGGTTTTAGGTCTGTTCAGGCTTTCTATTTCTTCCTGGTTCAGTTTTGGTAGTTGATCCATCTCTAGGAATGCATCATTTCTTCCAGATTGTCTAATTTGCTGGCATATAGTTGCTTATAATATGTTCTTATAATTGTTTGTATTTCTTTGGTGTTGGTTGTGATCTCTCCTCTTTTTTTTTTTTAAGATTTTATTTATTTATTCATGAGAGACAGGGAGAGAGAGAGGCAGAGGGAGAAGCAGGCTCCCAAGGAGCAGAGAGCCCGATGCGGGGCTCGATCCCAGGACCCTGGGATCATGACCTGAGCCGAAGGCAGACGCTTAACCATCTGAGCCACCCAGGCGCCCATGATCTCTCCTCTTTCATTCATGATTTGATTTATTTGGGTCATTTCTCTTTTCTTTTTGATAAGTCTGGCCAGGGGTTTATCAATCTTAATTCTTTCAAAGAACTAGCTCCTAGTTTCGTTGATCTGTTCTCCTGTTCCTTTAGTTTCTATTTCATTGATTTCTGCTTTGATCTTTATTATTTCTTGTCTCCTGCTGGGTTTAGGCTTTATTTGCTGTTCTTTCTCCAGCTCCTTTAGGTGTAGGGTTAGGTTGTGTATTTGAGACCTTTCTTGTTTCTTTCTATATACATGTATTTAACAACTACCTTGAAGAAAGCATTGTTTTAGAATGGATACAGTGGTAAGCAACATAGCCTATCTTCACAGGGTTTACATCATAATGGAAGATAAGGAATCTTAAACAATTACTTGCCCAATGACTTATTTATTTAGGGGTCAATGAAGTGATAATAAGGAAGAAGTGATTAGTTGAAAAGGGGGTCTTGATTATGCATTTTGGCCACATTGTTAAAATAACAGAAGCCATTGATAAATTTTAAATGGTTTGTTTTGAGGTTTCAAAACCTTCCTGTTCCTGCAGCATGTAGAAAATTCTGTAGCAGTTGTAAAGCACCTTCAGGGATGGTAGTGAAAACGCTATTACCCGCATCCAGGAGAGAGGTGAAGGCAATGTGGATTGCAGTGGTTGTGCTCGGGAGAGGGCAGAAGGCATGAAAGAATTTGACATTATTTTGAATTTATATAAAATGTACAGAACTTGGAAAATGATTCATATACGAGGTGAGAAAGAAGGAGATATTGGGGATGCCTGTAAGCTCTCTGGCCTATGAAAATGATGGGTGGTGACACTCACTGAGATAGCGACAGTAGGAGCAAGACCAGACATGGAGGGAATCTCCTGGTTGTATTGGCTACACAGTGAAATGGGGTGATAGGAAACATCAGGACAAATATGGGGCAGGTGGATGGCCCTGAAACTCAGAAGACATTCTGGACTGCAGATACTAATGGGCTATAAATTACAGACATCAGCATATAAATTGTTATCTCTGCTAATCTTCACAACCTTATGTAGTAGTGACTTTGATTTTGTTTTATAGGTAAATTGAAAACAGAAAGGTAAAGTGACTAATTCTAAGTCACAGAGCTACTAAGTGGCCAATACTGAATCCCAAACTAATTTTCTCCCCATTACTCCACAGTAGAGAGGGTTCTCTTTAGTCCCCATATGTACTGTCCACTCTGTTCTATCTCATGGTTCCTTCCCTGGTGTCCAGATGGGTACTTTTTATTGAAAAGGCAGCAAAAACCATTGGAACAGAGGAGGGGGTAGAGGCTCAAAGAGTAACATTAGGGGCTTACGGTATTTATTGTTTATTTCTAGTTAAACATTTAAAAAAATAAAATAGATTTGAAGTGTTTTGTCTATTTAGGGTACTTTTCATATACCTGTGAATCCACACTATTAATTTTAGAGAAGTTTGACTTTAAAAACAACAATAGTAATTGCCTATTTTCCTTTTATGAATTATTCTATTGCTTCTGATGCACCTTCAAGGAATTTAAAATTTGTTCTTACTTATTGCTAAATTTTAGGCCTACTAAAAAAATTCCTCAAAAACTTCTTGATATAATTTAGTTCTCAAGCAGTTTGTTATTCATCATTCAGGTACTCATGTTTGTAATTACTTAAGTGTAATCAGGCAGCTGATGTCTCGCATTTGTCAAACATTTTCTCTTATAATCGAATTTAGTGATGCTTTTAAAAATTGAGCAGCAGGTGATTTTGTTGCATGCATAACTGATTAAAAGGCAAGACCAAAAAGCTTTGGCAATGAAAGCTTGTGTCCTCAATGCTGTTGGTAAATGTGATCCTGCTTTCTGTATGGTACTGCTCTGTTGAGAGTCTCCTAAACCCAATATATTCCCAGAGACCTTGACATCTGATGTTAAAAATGAGATGAGGAGACATGATCATGGTAACTAGAGTGTCTCATTCTGCAGATGGTATTTGATGATGGACTTCTGTCATTGACGGATGTGTTCAATAACTATGCTTGTCTATATAGAATTTTGTCTATGTGTTAATAATTATTTATATGTATCCATGCCAGGTGGTGGTCCTGTTCCCTTTTCCTGGAATGGCTTGCCATCAACATCACATGCTCAAGTTCTATTCATTCTTCTACTCAGTGAGAGAGTCTTCTGGGAGGCCTTCCTTGACTCCCCAAACAGATTTAAGAGGTCTTTCCACCATGATTCCATTGTATCTTTTTGCATACTTTCATCATTGCAGCATTACTCTTGAAATAATTTGTGTACTTGTCAGTCTTCTTTTCCAGTTATTGTTTCCTTCAGGCCAGGACCTCTGCTTATGTATCTTTTCACTTACAGTGCTAGGACCACCACCTGGCATATCATGTGTCTCAGGGAATATTTGCTGTATGAATGAATTAACAAATGAATGGATAGAAGAATGAAAGATAAATCAAATAAGACCTAATACTTGCTCTCAAGAATTTGTGATCAAGCCTGAAAAGTAAGACATACATATAAATAATTATTAACATATAGACCATTGTGTCACATGTCCCAAGAGAGCAAAGAAAGAAAGAGTCTGAGAATACAAGAGAGAGAGCTGACCTGAATCAGTAATAAAAGCAGGTTCGAGAGAGAAAATTCTTTTTTTTTTTTTTAAAGATTTTATTTATTTATTTGACAGAGACAGAGATAGCGAGAGCAGGAACACAAGCAGGGGGAGTGGGAGAGAGAGAAACAGGCCTCCTGCCGGGCAGGGAGCCTGATGTGGGACTCGATCCCAGGACCCTGGGATCATGACCTGAGCCGAAGGCAGACGCTTAATGACTGAGCCACCCAGGCGCCCCGAGAGAGAAAATTCTTATTGGAAGTTGTTTCCATTGAAATATTGTTGAAATTATTATGGAATAACAAGAATCAATAACAGTTATAAATTGCTTTCTATGTTCTAGGCATTGTACTAAGGGCTATATATACATTGTCTCATTTAAATATTACAGGCAAACCTTCTAAGTTACAGATTCCTAATTCATTAAGTTAGGATAATGGTCCCAAACTAACTCATATATTTGCTGTGTGAGTCAGTGAGCATGTGATTTGAAGATGATAGAGCACAAGACAAACAGAAGACCATACTATTCTTCTGAAGAGAAAGGGTGAAATGAAAAATGGAACTTTAGGGAAAGATAGAAAAATTATGATATTAAGAAAGAATTTAAAGGTGCACTGTTTGGGTTCAAAAGCAGATAGCTGAGAACAGAAGTCTGAATTTTGGTTTGGAGTCACTGAGAAATATAAAGAGTGTTTCAAAGAAGACCATTGGTGACAGTAAAAACTGAGACCACTTGGAGTGGACTGAAGTAGAGAAATTATAAGAGAAGCTGAACAGCAGGACAGATGTAGAAATAGTATTTTGAAATTGTGACTTGGGTTTAAGCTGAGCCAGAAACAGAGGAAATCATATTTCCTATGTAACCTCTCTGTGCTCTGGTAGACATTTTAAATGTACTTTATATATTGAAGTGACTACTAGCAAAATAAGGCAGGCGTTTTAGTCCCTCTTTCAAAGTAATTTTAAATATATTGAAAATTGGGGCGCCTGGGTGGCTCAGTCATTAGGCGTCTGCCTTCGGCTCAGGTCATGATCCCAGGGTCCTGGGATCGAGCCCCGCATCGGGCTCCCTGCTCAGCTGGGAGTCTGCTTCTCCCTCTCCCTCTCCCCCTGCTTGTGTTCCCTCTTTCGCTGTGTCTCTCTCTGTCAAATAAATAAATTAAAAAAAAATTAAATATATTGAAAATAGTGTCTTTTTGATGTTTCTTTTTACTTTTAGCTTTTTGGCTTTCATTGTTTATATTTAAAAGTCAAAGTTATAAATCATTTTTATAGTTTATTTGGTAATGTTTATCCTTTGCAAGTTGCTATCCCTTCCTGATGAAGAGAAACTCTAAATTGCAATACTGTTCAAATTATGCTTAATGCACTCTAGGAATTTTAGGGGTAACTTAGTGACAGCTGGTTAAAAGATGGTGTCCAGGACAGAAGAAGAAAAGGTAATGGGAGAAATGGACCAGGTTTTAGCCCTATAGCCCCACGTAAGCCAAGGAAGCTCCACTTTTTTCTCCTTTGAATGAATGTTGGGCTTTAGTGTTATGAAATTAGTTTGTAACAAATTCTTCTGATTAAAAAAAAGAACATTCCTGCTTTAATCATTCTAAACATTATGGAGTTTATGGCCAAAAGTGAGACTTTCATTTTAAATTTTATTTCATGTTTCTTTCCAAGATAGGTTATTACCTTTCTCATTGGTTTGTGGATTGCATTTTTATTATATATGGAGTTTACATATAGTTGCATTCCAAAATGTCCTAAGGTAATTACTCTATCTTTTATTGTGGTGGGCATATAATTAACTTTTAAAAATAATTAGGACTTTCAAAAATGCAAATGGCAGAAGCTCCATAGGAATGAGATTAGATAAAAAAGGAAATTTATTAGTTTAAAAAAATCCAAGGAAGGGATGAACACTCAGACTCTGGGAAAGGCAGAAATGCAGCTGAGACTGAGGAACAGCAGAAACCAGGGAACTAAATGCTCTAAGGACTCTCTCTCTTTGTATCTCTTTGTCTCTCTTTTCCTCTGTCCCTCTGTCTCTGTCTCTGTCTCTGTCTTTCTCTGTCTCTGTCTCTCTCTCATTCTCCAGCTCTCATCTCTGTTTCTTGGAGTGTGTCATCCTGTCTTCCACAGGTTGAGATGTAAGGCTGTCATCAGCTTGCAAGCCACCTGACAACTCTAGCACAGTGAATTCTGAGTAATGATTCTGATTGGCCCACCTTGAGTCAGTGGTCTACCATGTACTGATCAATTATAGCCAAGGAAAGAGTTTATAAAAGAATGTTATAGGGACACCTGTGTGGCTCAGTCGGTTAAGTGTCTGCCTTCGGCTCAGGTCATGATCCCAGGGTCCTGGGATCGAGTCCCACATCGGGCTCCTTGCTCAGCCGGGAGCCTGCTTCTCCCTCTCCCTCTGCCCCTTCTTCCTGCTCATGCTCTCTCTCTGTCAAATAAATAAACAAATTCTAAACAACAACAAAAAACACAAACAAACAAAAAATATTATAGTTCCTGCATCAGCGAGGGTGGGAAGGTAGGGATAGGAAGCAGATGCAGGTTCAAAGATCTATGGCTTAAATAAATTACTTGATTTATTCCTCAAGTAGCAGTGTTGGTATGTTGTTGAATATAATTTCAGGGACCAGAGCTGCTTCTTTCTTGTGGTTCCACAAAACCTAGGGTTTAATCTGGACCACATGATCCATGATGGCTCATCAACACACTATCTGTATTCCAGATAAGCAAAAAGAAAAAAGGAAAAAGGAGAAGACATAGCTTCTTATTTTTAAGAAAACTGCCCCACGGCGCCTGGGTGGCTCAGTTGGTTAAGCACTGCCTTCGGCTCAGGTCATGATCCCGGAGTCCTGGGATTGAGTCCCACGTTGGGCTCCCGGCTCAGCGGGGAGCCTGCTTCTCCCTCTGACCCTATCCCCTCTCATGCTGTTTCTCTCTCTCTCTCTCTCTCAAAGAAAGAAAGAAAGAAAGAAAGAAAGAAAGAAAGAAAGAAAGAAAGAAAGAAAGAAAAGAAAGAAAACTGCCCCAAAGTTACATATATTGCTTTTGCTCAAGACTTGAGTCACATAGACGTAATTTGCTACAAGAAAAGCCCGAGATGCACTCTCTGGTTTTCTTTGTATACAAAACGAATATGGAATATCCTAGTATCCTATAAGTAGTGATGGGTATTTTTAAATCAAGGAAAAGGATACAACAAGTTATTAACTCCCAGGGAAATACAATATAAGGAAATATAATCATAGCACAGTATTTGTTTCCAGTGTGAATATTTATATACTAAAACTTATGAAAATCCTAGATGTGGATTTGACCCCAAATCATGATGTTATGATACCAGAAAGACTGAGGAAAGAAAAGGGGGGTTGTAAGAGAACAAAAATTATTTCTGTATGAAGAACTCCAGATATAAACTTGATGAATTAAAAGATGGTAATATTTGCCTATTATATTAGAAATATGGAAGCAAACATCAGAATAACAAGCTAAAAGTTACAGTAGTTGACTTGGCTGTAGGCACTGCATAACTTACAGATCAGATGTTATCAATCAATTTTAAAACATTCCAACGAGGTGGTATGTTCCTATCTTCCTAATGAAGAGACTAGGGTGCAGGAGTATTCGGGTGGCTGTTCCAAGCTCTTACAGCTAGTAAGTGCAGAGCTGGCACTCAGACCCAAGCATCTGACTGATGATAATGATGACGACGTTAATGATAATGATGTTGATGATGATTATGGTGATGCTAAGGATGACAACAGTAAAAACATTGGGATGTCTTCCTGTTTCAGATCGGGACATTTTTCAAGATTACATTAAGCCCTACTTAGAACAAGCAAGTCAGATCTGGCCATGGCTCATCGGGGCTGCTGTGGTGGGCTCTGTCCTCACTGCTGTGCTGGGAGGGCTCACAAGCCTATTGTGTCATCGTCAGGAGAGAAAGCGGCTCCATGAAGAAAAGCAGCCACTCCTCATGGAAAAGGAGGATTACCACAGCTTGTTGTATCAGACCCATTTATAAGAGGCTTAGGCAATAGAGTAGGGCCCACAAGGCTGACCTCACTTTAACTCAAATGATGTCCAAGTCCCCAAGGAGATGTCCCCAGAGCAATCCCTACCATTTGTCTATGAAGTCTACTATCAGAATTGATATAAAAGGTACCTGCCCTCCTTCAGTTCAGGTAGAATACACCTGTGCTTGCCTCACTGTCTTTTAATCATGCCTTTGACAGTTTTCCTCAAACCCATATTTCTTAGAAAAGAATGCCATTTAGTAATGAGTGACTACTACTTGTACCTGAATGAAAGTGCTCTTATAAAAATGTGGGAATAATTTTGATCTTTCCTCCTGATTGTTTAATGAAATGTTTCTTTTTATTGTCCCCTTTCTTTGATTTTAATAAAATACTAACAAATTTACATTGACTCCTTTGAGCTTGAGAAGTACCTTTTTATTTCCCTCAGAAAGCATAATGTTTCCTTTATATTTTACATTCTTGCTCCAAAATGTGTTAAGGACTTCAAATAGACGACAACCTTCAGCTCTTTCCTGCCATAGTTCTATGTGTTTGAAGGTCAGTGAAAATAAAGACCCCACCCCTACAATAAATCTGGCTAAGTACCTGTCTCAAGATGTACTCATTAAATATGTTAATAACAGTGATAATCCTATTAAAAGCTTTTTTTTTTTTTTTTGGTTTTCTAAGAAGAATTTTATTAGAGAATGTTTAAATGCTACAAAACATTTGAAGTTTGGGAACGATTATGTGAATTGCCTGCTTGCAGTTCTAGTAAAATCATATTTGTTTCTCTTAGCTATTAAAGCCTTAAATTAGGATATGCAGATAAACTTGCTTCTTGAATTTTTAGTTCCCATTGAAATTCTAAGAATAGTATAATTGATATTACATTTCTATTATAGCTATGTATAGCATAAAAGACAAGGACCAGCGAAATAAGTCAATCAGAGAAAGACATGTATCATATGTTCTCACTGATATGAGGAATTCTTAATCTCAGGAAACAAACTGAGGGTTGCTGGAGTGGTGGGGGTGGGAGGGATGGGGTGGCTGGGTGATAGACATTTGGGAGGGTATGTGCTATGGTGAGCACTGTGAATTGTGTAAGACTGTTGAATCACAGACCCGTACCTCTGAAACAAATAATACATTATATGTTACAAAAAAAGAAGATGGTAGAAAGGGTAAAATGAAGGGGGGAAATCGGAGGGGAAGATGAACCATGAGAGACTGTAGACTCTGAGAAACAAACTGAGGGTTCTAGAGGGGAGGGGGGTGGGGGGATGGGTTAGCCTGGTGATGGGTATTAAAGAGAGCACGTAATGAATGGAGCACTGGGTGTTATACTCAAACAATGAATCATGGAGCACTACATCAAAAACTAATGATGTAATGTACAGTGATTAACATAACATAATAAAAAAAATAAAGTACTAAAAAAAAAAAAGGACAAGGACCAGTTGTTGGGAGTTACAGGGGACCATTTTGGTCCAATAAAAGGAAAACTGTCCAATAGTCAGAGCTTTCCAAAACCTAAAGAGGCATCCTTAGAAAATCGTAAGTGGTCGCCACTATAATTCTTCACATATAGATTGGATGGCTAATTCAAGTTGAATTCTACAAAGAGAATTTAAGTATTAAGTCTATAGTAATACTAAAATCTCCTCAGGACTCTTAACAACTCCCCATTTAGAAATAAGACCAAGCACGTTCTACAGAAAGTCCCTATGATTCTTCCACAGTATTCCAGAATGTTTCACCAGATCCCAATTTCCACTCTCACTGGATATCCAACCTCATTTACTCTGTCCTGGTATCCTCCATCTCTTCATTTCTCTTATGGCTAATTAACATTTGTCTGCTCAGCATTTTCCATATAACTTTAGATTTACTACTTGATTTGCCTTTCCTTCCTCATCTCTGAACACTGTCTTTCCACTGTCTCTTGATGCCAGGCTTTAAAGACAGACTTGTCTCATCCAGGCTCACATAAAACTGTGTGGGTCTGGCACCTGAACCTCTATATCACTGGGAGAGTATTTAAAAGGAGACCTACTGACCTGTGCAGTACCTTTCAACTAAAATATTCTACAATTTCTGTTAAGCTCTGAAGCACAGTGTTCAGATTATTTATGAATGAATTTAAAAATGAGTGGACTGAAAAATTTGAGCTCTTAAAAATGGCTTTATCTGGAAAAGACTGATGAGAGAGTCAAAATCACATAACTTTAAATGATTACATTTCACTTAGTCCCAGTTTGGATTTCAAAGAAGAGCAAGAATTAGCCTATTATACACATTGGTCAAGTGATCTTGGCGAATTTTCATCTAGAATAGAAATTCACGATTTTATTGAAGTAATGCCTTTGACTCTCAGAGATTACTAATAGTTAATAAACTCAGTTAAATAGAGTAATATGATCTTCTAACTCCCATTAGTTGTCAGACTTATTTACTAGCTTGTTTAATTTCAGATGCTTAGTGGAGAAAAGTCAGACAAGGGATGGGGAACAGCATATTTATTTAGACAGTGGGGGTTTGTGGGACTCGAGGACAAATACAAGGGATTCTCTCCTCAACTTGGTGCATAACCAGAAAAAAAATATTTTTAATAAATTAAAAATGGCGTCTGAGGACTGGATTCAATTTAGCTGAGAATTGGAACCAGTAAAACTGAGAACAAAAAGTGGGAAAAGACATTTGGATAATGGTCTCCAGAAGATTCTGAAGAAGCAGTAGCAGTGAATGCATTTGGTTGCCTTTAGTCTAATCTCGGCACACAATACAGTTACTTAGCTAGGTTTGATTTGAAGGCAAAATTTTAGTCCAGGAGGTATTTTTTAATCATTTTTACAAAGCACCTCAAATAGAAGTCCACCCCAGGAATTTTCATTGTTTTTGACAGTGATCTTAGAAAGTCATTCTTTTCTTTATCACAAGACAATTCCCTCCTTTATCACTGCATTTCAAGATAGAATATTGTGTTGTTTCTCTAGAGGCTCAAGGTATTTACTTGGATAGCAGCAATACCTGTGATAAAACCACCACCACATTGTCAATAAGGTTTTCTCAATAAGGTACCTAAATTACCTGACCGATATATGAAGATACCTGGCAGTTTCATTAAATTCTAACCAACATTATATTCCGCAGCATTGTTTTAGAGTGTGGCTTTTATAATTGCTTAACTTTGGCTCTGCTCTTTTTCTACTGCTACATTACAAGGCACATTTTGTTACAGAGAAAGGAATAAGAAGCTGCCACTCTTTTTGTTTCTCTTTCTGTGTTTTATTATTTTTTTTTAAAAAGAGCATTTTTAGTAACCAACCTTTCCAACAAGTCACATATATAATTCTCCATCTGTAGAAATAAGTATGTGATGGGTACAAGTCATTTCAACCAATGTCTCTAGCAGGCTGACAACTGGCATTGATGGTGGATATTTTTAAATAGGCTTTTCCTTGTTTATATGGGCTTTGATTTGTAGGAACGCTTTTCTTTGTCATCATAAAAAGGGCCTCATTGGGTCCTCCTATTGTTAGCCTGTGCTATTTTGGAGGGCATGTCAGTAGAACAAAGTTCCACTCCCCTTCTGATTAGACTCCTTCTGAAAGCTGCTGAAATACAAGTAAAAAGAGGTGTGTGTGGTTTTTTTTTTAACTTTATGCTGCTTATTTTCAAAAGCATTTCCTAGTTTGTACAGTATCTTGAATATAAAATTGCCTATGGCAACTACTGGAGGTCTTAAGGACTTTCAAATCTTTCAGCTATTTAAAACTATGTGGGAATAATTTGAGTATTTCTTTAAAATATAAACCTTATTAAAACAATAGATAGCGTGTGTTTATCTAATTGTTTCATAAGTTCTTTTCCTAATTAGCAAGGTAAGAAATTATTCTTATAACTTCATGTTAATGTACCAATTCTTGTGTGCTTTACAATCATGATCATAGTGATTTCTAATTTCTTATTTAAAAATAAATAACAAAAGATGTTACAATCTAGTGAGTAGTTATGATGTTCCAAGAACTGTGTTGAGCACTTCATATTATGTGAACTCATTTACTTCTCATGTCAGTATGGGAATAAGTATTATTTGTGTTTTCAAATGAGGAAACAATTGCTTAAACAGGAGACATACTTTGCCTAGGTCAGTTCGGTAGCTTAGGTAATTTAGCTAAGGTCTAAATCCAGTTCCTTGTTCATAACTATAAATGTCATTGTTGTTTGTTACTCAATTATATTGATGTGCCATAACTTGCCAATTCCTTGCTATGGGACATTTAGGTTTTATCTAGTTTTTTTTTTATTAAAAATTTTAATTCTAGTATAAATGCACAGTGTTACATTGGTTTCAGGTGCACAATATAATGATTCAACAATTTTATATGTTTTATCTAGTTTTTAAATTATGTTTAGTGCTGTATGGAATATCTGGGCATATTTGGCATCTAATTTCTCTTATATTATCTTCCAGGAGTTCAATCTCTGGATCAAAGCATACGAATAATTTTATGGCTTTTTTAATGAATTGCCACAGTGCTTTTGAAAAGGGTTGCATGGATTTAAAAATGCAGAGATGAAGTCTAAAAATAAGAGATCAAAAGGAATGAAGAAGAAAATGAAGCAGTGAAGAACTTTGAAGAAGGAAGAAGAGTTGCAATTCTCTTTGAATGGAACTGAAGACCCTAATTGCCACTTGGAGTGTTGCTTCTTTTCATAAATCTTTTTAGAATTATAACATCAATTTAATGGGCATTTTTTTTCTCTCACAAAAATTAGAAGAAAATTCAGACTCAAGCAATTTTAGAGAGATGGGGAATAACATGCATGTGAATTGGTTTCAAAATAAGATGTACATCTTGGCTAGGTATAGAGGTGTGTGTGCCTCAAGCTATCAGAATCATGCAGGGAAAGCCGAAACCAAAAACAAAAAAAACCCCAGCAACACTAAAATCCATCCATCCTTGGTAGAATAAGCACAAGACCTCAAAATAGTCTGAATCAACGGAGAGTCAGGGTCAGCTATGGGGATAGATAAGATCATGGAACGGGTAGGGAAGGCTGGGAAGACTCTGAAAACCAAGCCTCAGGACAAGTTTGAATGCTTTACTTTTAGTGCTTTTTGAGCAAGTACTCTGCCTGGAATTTGGTCAGTCTTTAGCAGACCAGTTTTAAACACTCTTGCAGAATAATTTCAAAGCATAGATATGTTTATATCAGTGTGTGTGTGTGTGTGTGTTTGTGCATATGGGCCATGTACAGAGAAAAAGAGAAAACACAGAAAGACAAATTCTTTCACCTCTCTCCAAAATCAAAGAGAACTTTGTTGTTGATTGTATTCGTTTTTATTGCTACT